ATACTCCAATAAAGATGTTAAAAAAAAAAAAAAAGGGTCCATAACTTATCCGTGGTTCTGCCCCTCCCTCAGGTCCTGCCTTCATTCTAAATTCAGCCTGTCCCCTCTCTGAGTAGTCACTCCTACAGGGGCTTATTCCCTGTCTCCCATTCAAAGTGATTCCCCAACCACACATGACCTGTGCCTTGTGCTAAGATCATACTTCAGAGTCTTCAAAATGTACATGAGTCTTTATTTTACTAGAACCTAGTTTTAAAAAAACACAATGATGCTTTCTCCTCTCTCCTTTATTGCCTCCAATTTAATCTTATTTTGAAATTCCTTTGGCGAACATTAATGGCTTCTATAATTTTAAGCAAGTGTTGATACATTTCTGAAGGTGCAGTAAAAACTATGTCAATCTAGGATCAGCCTTGGTTACCGGATCCCAGGTCCCAGAAGGGAAAAAATACTCTCATTTGACAGCCTCTCCATCACAACATAAACTCAAGCTTCTCCAACAGAGTCTTCGCCAGAGACCGAGCTGACTGCGCCCATTTCACGTAACAAAAAAAATAAGAATTTTCACACAAACACTGACTCAAGAAGGAATTTTTTTCAAGTTCAAAAAGCAGAAGTCAAATCACAATTGACACACAGATGCCACGCACATAACAGGTATTTAAAACAAAATACACTCAAGGGCCTGATTAATTCAGAGATTGTTGCACAAACTCTCCTTATGGGTTTCTGTTAGCCTTACCTCCACCTGGCTTTTGTTCATGCACCTCTTTGTATAGTCAATCTTTATAAGTTCACATTACCCTTCCATCTGTAATGCAGGGAGAAAACACTCAGGAAAAACGGTAGCACTTCTTCCAAATCTGCATTCTTCTATCTGTAGATGTACATTTAGGAACCCTGTACTGGTCAACCATATTACCAGCTCTACTTTCCATCCATTTTGATCTAGAAAGATCACTATTCCTGCTAAAACACGCTTTACTCATCCCCCCGAAGAAATCCTAGGTCCCCTGGCATCCTAAAAGCAAACCTTCCTGATGACTCATGTCTTCGTCTTCCAGATCTGGTTCCCTGTTCCAAACCAACATCCCTCCAGCTAATTTCCTGTCTCTCCTATCGGATCTGATAAAAGTCTTCCTTCATGTGCTGTTTACATATCGCTCTACTTCCTAAACAGCTTCATGACCACCGTCTTTCTCAAGGGCCCCATGGACTGTCTAGAGATGTCCTGTTACGTTCAAAAGTACCTAATGTAGCTACAGATGTGCAATGAATATTGTTGAATAGATATTTTAATAGACTTATTTCGGATTTCTAATTTCTACTTAATGATACAGTCATTTCTATTATGAGATCGTTACCATCTATCTTATAAGTAATTCAAAGAACTAGAGTATCTTTTCTAAATCCTCTCTAACTCTGCTCCACCACAATCCAGAATGGTTCTCTGTACATAGGAAGCACTTGGTAAAGTCTGCTAGCTTCCTGACTAGAAGAACTATATCATTATAGACTTCAAAACCATTATGAACTGCCTTATAAGCATCAAACCTGGAAATGGGAGTGACAACTCACAATGACCCAGATTGTTGCAGAAAACAAGGGAAACAGCTTCACCACTCTGGTAACAACTCCGAGTACAGTGTCATGTTTCAGATAGAAAGTTCGCTTAGGCTCCTGTTTTTATACTCAAATGAGAAGAATGAAAAACGTTTGTGTTTTCAATAAGACCACATTTTAGCACCTTGAGGCGAAACAGGCGTAGGCAATGACTTGCCAAAGCAAAAGAGAACAGCTAGAAGCAGATGCCTAACTGCAGAAACCATTAAATTTCTGCACCTTAATTTTTGGCAGATTTCGTAGTCAAGTGCAACCCGACAGGAGTAATGAATAAATAAACAGCAGTTCTAGACATCTGGTGGTGTGGAAGAGATATTTTGGACTATCAGATAAATATTCAGATGGTAAAACTTGTGGCTGATTCCTCCCTCACTAAGCAACTGTGGTGAATGCTCGTGGTGGGCAAATCGATGGAGAAAACCAAAACTGCAACCTGAAGACCTAATGATTCAGGTCACAGGTGACATCCTGTCCCGTTAGAGGCACAGCACATACCTGACAAACCATGGGGCTGACCCCTCAGAGGAGCCAGCCTGCTTCTGCCGCAGCACTGGGGATGCCCTGACAACTCTGCCCCGGATTCGGCTGTCCTTGTCTTCCCCAGCTGACGACTAGGCTGTCAGTTCTTTTTCAAGAATATGTCGGTTTCTTAAACCAAGTTCCAGTCAAATTGCAACTAGGGAGCCATTACCTGCCTCTCCAAGTGACTTTGCTGCCCTATAGTCTCTGCATCTCAGCACTTAATTCTCTGCAGTTAATCTTCTTTCTCTGTTTTCATGTAGTTCTAGGTCAGGGTAGCTCATCATTGCCCCAGGTATTGTCTACAGACCCGGTGTGAGCTTTCGACAATCTGCGGATCTCCAAGATGCTATTCATGGAATAAATTCAACTTTAAATCACATACATAACATAAAGAACTCTACAAAGAGAAAAAAATGAACCAGTATCATGTACAGATGCAAACTGTAAAATCTTTCCAGCCATTTCAACTACCAAAAGACTTGTTAACCCAAATATGAAATTACCTAAGTTGTAACAGTACACCCTGGATCTCGTGAGCAAATTAAATCCAAGTGCTAAAACGAAATTCTGTCATAACTACTTCAGTACTCATAGCTGGCTTCCATGCTAGGAAAGAATTGAATAAGAAAAACAGACTATCTGATAATTAAAGGGAGGTTTCCAATTGCTTTACTCTAGACTCCATTTATTATCACAGAAATTAGATGCTGGGGGAGAGGGGTTTGCTTGATGATACTGCTTTATTAGGTGCCTTTAAATGTAAAACCAATATTGCCACCTAGTGGCAATCTAAGCCACCAGCTAAACAGGTGGTCTAAATGGCAAACTGTAAATGCAAAGGACAATACAAATTAAGTAGAAGCATACTGAAACTAAACAGACGCACAGAATAAACTGCTAGAAAAGTTCAACACTTTAGAGAAATAGAGATGTTTCCTAACCTTTCTAGGAAAGGTTACCACAAGCAGAACACTGAACATGGTTGAACCATATTACAGCGTGTAACCAGGATGTTACATTCTTATGTTTTATACTGACCTCAGAGAACTTTAGAAAAGAGAGACACAGGGCTTCCCTGGTGGCACAGTGGTTAAGAATCCGCCTGCCAATGCAGGGGACATGGGTTCGAGCCCTGGTCCAGGAAGATCCCACATGCCGCGGAGCAACTAAGCCCATGCACCACGACTACTGAGCCTGCGCTCTAGAGCCCGCGAGCCACAACTACTGAGCCCTCGTGACACAACTACTGAAGCCCACGCACCTGGAGCCTGTGTTCCGCAACAAGAGAAGCCACCGCGATGAGAAGCCCATGCACTGCAACGAAGAGTAGCCCCCTCTTGCCACAACTAGAGAAAGCCTGCGCACAGCAACGAAGACCCAACGCAGCCAAAAAATAAATAAATAAATTTATTTTAAAAAAATTCATAAAACACACATGAATCTGCCTCTACAAAAGGGAAGGTACTTCTGGGAACAAGGTACAGAGATATATGTGCCCTTAATTCATGTATGAATTCAAACGATACATAACTCTGTCCTGACATCATCACTGATTCACAGTTTGGGGTAACAGCCAAGGCCCAACTGAGCTAAATTCCATGAATGCTCACCCGGACCCCACTGAGGGACTATGTGGGGCCCTGCTCCCCGACCCCCGCAGAGGCCTCTACCAGAGCCCACGGAGGAACCCCAGCCTGTCAAGGTTGCTGCAGGACTTCCTCTCTGATGGAATCTGAAAAGGTTTAGTAGAAGAAAATCTCCGAAGTTGGGTTTCCAGACAAAGGGGAACTTAAAACTCATCAAGCTGCTCCTATCTCCAAGTACCTCCCCCCCAAAAAAACAAAAAAACCAACCACCTGTCTATAGCCTGCAACACTTTCCTCTCCCTTGAGAAGGTATGAGGAACCGACGGTCTGTCCTTGCGGGGACGTGGGGAGGGTGGATGAATTTCATACGTAAAGCATTTAAAGATTAAGCACAGTAAGCTTTACTGTCAGCAGTGCCTTGACCTTGAATACCACTTACAGCTGTTCATTTTTCCATCGATATCTCCAACCCTTTATTTCCCAGCTCCCACCAACAGAAAGAAGCTGTCTGTCAAACACACAGGTCTCTTGTCAGAGAACTCTTGATGGCTTTTACCTCCAAACAGCACTTCTGTCTTGAAGGCCACAGCCATATAGTGGAGCGGGCTGGGTGGAATTTCTTTGCTTGGCTAAAAAAGAAAGCTCCTATATGGCAGCACAAGAAGGTAGATCTTCCTTTGCCCCAAACCTCCAGCATCATTCAGAACAGATTTAAACTCAGCTCACGCCTGTTTCAAACATCATTAAAGTGTACCTGGACGTGTCAATCTTTCTCTCCATAATCCTTCTTGGATATTACATTATAAATCAAATCAAAAGTTCAATTAATAAGATCCAATTTAAAAACGGATTAAGAAACTCACAGAAGAAGCACCGCACTAAGGTTAATGAAAGTGTTATTTCAACATAGAAATTGCCATAGAACTTGTTACCAGAATTTTGAACATCAATTATCTTTGCTATTTTAAGCTCTGCCTTTAAAAAGTTATTTCTTCCACTTTTTTCTATCATACTTTATGATGAAACCATGATAGTCCTATACATTTGTATAATTCTCTTAAAAATATATATATAATTTAGAATACGATGCTTTGAGCATTAGAAATTAACTAGAGCATTTTAAACAATATAGTCCATATTAAGCCAGCAAAACAAAAACGAGGTATTTTATCTCAATAAAATTGATCATCTATGGACCAAGAGCTTTGGAAAACATAAATGAATCAAGTAATAAGTAAGTATCTGACATTCCAAGTCACCGCTACATACCTGGGTAAGATCTGCAGCTTGCTTTAAGATGCTTTGTTTTAACTGTTCTGCTTTCTTTGCATGAAAAGAATTACTTTGACTCTGGATGACAAATGCAATTCCTTTTAAATCTAGAACAACAACAACAAAAAGTTTTCAGGTATTTTTTTAACAAGGACTGAAATAAACTTGAAAACAAGTCAAAAAAAAAACAACCACAAGGCAAGCCTTCAGGCAATAAACCCTTAGGGGAAAAAAATCAATTTGTATGTAATTCTAATAACACAATCTCCCTTTTTAAACTGATCTCTGCAACTTCCTTCCTAGAAGTTAGTAAGTAAATAAGCTCGCTGTACTAGACCAAGTCTGTGGTAACAAACTGTGACATTGCTCCTGCATCTGTCAGAAAGTACGCAAATGTTAATGTGGGAAAGAACACTCACTTCCCTCGTCACTGAAAATCCAATGTCTGCAAGAAGCCTTTTAACAATTCACACATAACCCTACAGTGTGTCTACCTGTTAGGGGCTGCATTGTGTCCCCCAAACTTCATGTGTTGAAGTCCTCACCCCCAGCACCTCACAATGTGACCTAATTTGGAATTGGGTCTTTACAGAAGTGATCGAGTTAAAGTGAGGTTATTAGTATAGGTCCTAATCCGATATACAGTACTTGGCGTCTTTATAAAAAGAGGAAATCCGGGCAAGAGACACACAGAGGGAGGATGCTGTGAAGACACAGGGAGAGGACGGCCACCTGCAAGCCAAGGAGGGGGGCCTCTGAGGAAACCAACCCAGCCTCCAGAACCGGGAGACAAACTTCTGCTGAAGCCACGCGGTTTGTGGCACTTAGTTTCATCAGCCCTAGCAAACTAACACTCTACCTCAAGCACATTCTGGACAGCCCTTCAAGGTGACGCTCAGCAATGACCTCACAAGGCACCTGGCCAGGATGCAGTGTTATCTCCAGGAAAACAGCCACGATTCCACACAGCAGGGCTGTGGCGGGAAGGGCTGCGTAAAAGCCTGTCGGCAACAGTGGCCATAGCTGCCGCCAGCTGAGACTGGCTTCGGGGCAGCCGGTGTCTTGACAGCGTCCAGGCGAGGGGAGACCACAGACATCTCGCCGCAGACAGGGCTGCTCAGGCCCCGCACCAGGGAAGCACATCAGGCCTGCCCAGGTTCTGAGCTCGTGATAAAGAAAAGAGACTGCCGTTGTGTCAGGACGCTGCCACCAGACAGGGGTGCTGGCCGAAGGCAGATGTCACAAACTTTTAGCCTCCAAGCAACACGGATGGACCTGGAGATGATCATACTAAGTGAAGTAAGTCAGACAGAGAAAGACAAATATGCAATATCACTTATATGTGGAATCTAATAAAAAAAATACAACTGAACTTATTTACAAAACGGAAATAGACACAGACTTAGAGAATGAACCCCTGGTTACGGGGTTGGGGGAGGGTTGGGGGGAGGGATAGACTAGGAGTTCGGGGTTGACATGTACACGCTGCTATATTTAAAACGGATACCCAACAAGGAGTACTGTACAGCACAGGGAACTCTGTTCCAGCACTCTGCCATAACTTAAACGGGAAAAGAATTTGAAAAAGAATAGACATATGTATACGTAAAACTAAATCACTTTGCTGTACACCTGAAACGAACACAACACTGTTAATCAACTATACTCCAATATAAAATAAAATTTTTTTTAAAAATTTAAATTTAAAAAACTGTAGCCTCCAGCAGGCTGACAGTAAATGAATGTGAGGACCCTCCCCCCACCAGGAGCTTTTCACTTTAACCCCTCGACTCAGGGCCGCTAACTTGGTTTTAATTTATTCCATTATATTTTATCGTTCTCATGTTCAGTTCTATAGTTCCATTCATTTATTCACTCAAATATTCATACAACAAATAGCTCCACAGTGAGCAGTCCAGATCCTAAAAATAATCCAAAATGCTCTCTGGTTAAAACTCAACAAAAAATTTAAAAGGAAATGCTGAACAACCTGCTGAATATGACCTCATTCTTTCTTTGTAGGAGTTTATATAAATATGAACCCTCCACATACCGATCTCTGTTTTAAATCAGTATAAATCAGACACACAGATAAGGTTCAAACGGGTATCTTCTACTTCAACTGAAATGTAACCTTCGATCCACTACATCTGAAACACTAATGTAACTGACTTATCAAAATGAGAAGTATTTATTTTTTTAAGACTGGAGTCATTAAGCCTCAGAGAATAATTTTTGCAAAATTTAATAAAGTTGAAGATGCACATGTGCAATGACCCAGAAACTCCAGCCTTATTAGTCATCCTTGAGAAACTCTCAATGCGTGTACAAGGGAATGTAACAAGAGTGCTCACAGCAGCACTGTGTAAAAAGAAAAAATTGGAAGCAAACCAGATACCCCCTAACAGGATACACAAATTGGACTACTACGCAGCAATAAAGATTAACTGACACTACGTGGATCAAGCCAGATGGATACTGGAGATGAACCCTACAGACAGAATGCTGAAAAAAGCAAGGCACAAGGGAATAACCATACAGTATAAATCAATGGTTTACAAAAATATAAACACAAATATATAAAAAATGGATATATACCATATATATGCATGTGTACATATCAAATATGGTGTGAAAGTATAAAAGACCACAGGAGAATGATAGACACCAAATCAAGATAATGGTTTAAACGCTACAGCTGTGTTAGGAATATTTTATTTCTTAATCTGAGTGGTAGATACACCATGTTACTCTTTGTAGCTTCCTGTATGTTCAAAATAATTCATAATAAATTTTTTTAAAAGAGTACCTTGGACTTCCCTGGTGGCGCAGTGGTTAAAAATCCTCCTGCCAATGCAGGGGACACAGGTTCAAGCCCCGGTCCGGGAAGATCCCACATGCCACGGAGCAACTAAGCCCATGTGCCACAACTACTGAGCCTGCACTCTAGAGCCCGAGAGCCACAACTACTCAAGCCTGCGCACCTACAGCCCGTGCACCGCAGCGAAGAGTAGCCCCGCCTCGCCACAACTAGAGAAAGCCCGCACGCAGTCATGAAGACCCAGCGCAGCCAAAAAATAAATAAATTAAAAAAATTATTTTTAAAGTTAAAAAAAAAAAAGAGCAGCTCCATCTGTCAAAAGGTTAACCCTGCAGGAATCAACTCCCACCACCTCCTCTACCAGATCAGCAAAGTTCCCACTGTTGGCACAGAAGCAGCTCTTTGGTGTGGGGAAGAGGCTTGGGGAGAAGAAAAAAAGCGAATTCTTCCCCTTTTCATATCTGGGTCCTGTGCTATTTCCTCTGCTCCTGAGAGATCATCCCCTTCCTTTATCAAGTGCTTGGATCTCGCATGCTGTGTGCACTCATTCAGCAAACATCTCCAAGCCTCTCCTAAGCACGAGGATCCAGGAAACACAAAGGAGCAAGCGTGACCCCAGCACAGGAGTCTAGCTCAGAAGACGCCATCACCGCACGAGGCCGTGGGTGTCACTGCAGAGCCAAGCGGGGGCCCTGGGGGCACAGAGGAGGAGAGCCAGTGCAGGGAGAGCTTCTGGGGAGGGGTGTTTCCTGAGTTTCCTCTAAAATGCAGCAGTGGGACTTCCCTGGTGGTCCAGTGGTTAAGACTCCGCACTTCCACTGCAGGGGGCATGGTTTCAATCCCTAGTCGGGGAACTAAGATCTCACATGTGCACAGTGCGGCCAAAAAAATAAAATATTAAAATTAAAAATTAACATAAAAAAATTAAAATGAAATAAACATTTAAAAAGTAAAAAAAAAATAAGACAGTTTCCTACAGACTCAGGCACAAGGTAGCAGATCAGTGGCAGAAAGAAGAGAGTTATCACAGAGCCCACAGCCCACCTTATCTTGGTAGCAGCCCTGAGAGGTGACCAGGGAGTTTATCGGGCATTTCTGAGAAAAGGATGAAGGGAACAGTCAGTGATAAAGTTAGAGAGGAAGGCTGCGTCAGCCAGATCAGATCAGGAAGGATTTATGTGCCACGCAACGAGGCCGGGTCTATAGATTAACAGCTTTCAAACTGGGGAAGGGCCCCAGAGCACTCTGGGACCCCAGATAGCAGAGCCTCCCCAGAGGATGTGATGAGGACGCCAAGTCCTGGGGACACCCAGGGACGACTTTTCCAACAGAGAGAGCAGTGAAGGTTCGGGACAGCCAATGGAGTGTTGGGCCCTGAAAGTATTACAGTTAGGGGAGGCTGTGCGGTGAGGTAAGGAACGGCATGCGTGTGCTGGAGTTACCTGTATGAGGCAAAAGCGGAAAGGTGTACCCAGGCCCTACAGCCCTGACACAATGAACGATGACCACGTTCAGCCCTACCCCCATTCCAGGAAAGAACCAGCATGGTACAGTTTGGTTCTTAAATTCCTGCTGTTCTTTATACATCGGCACCAGGAAGTATTTCCTGACATACGTCCTAAGCCCTCCTGGACTGCATCGCATTCTGGCCGAGTCTAGATCTCCTGGTTTTCTTCTCTGTTCATCCCGTTCAACCACTTGACTCTTAAGCTCTCACTGCCTGGTCAGTGGAACCAAATAAGACGATTCCACTATTTCCCCATCCCTTTGCTGATACCTCCCTAAACCCACTGCAACGTGCCTTGAGCAAACACAGTCACAACTCAAGACAGACTGTCACTGTATCTCCTCCAGGAATGAGTGATAAATGGGTCACACACTAAGTACCTGACAATAATGATGAGTGTGACGGGCGAGAAGGGAAGATAGTCAAGGATACAGCGAGGACCCACTCGGTGTTAAAGCCGACGGTAGCTGTAGAACTTTCAGGAAACAGGACCAGAGATGGCTACAGAGGGAGCCCTGTAGGAGGATTAACTCTTCTGTGAAGAGGAAAGCAATCAAAGGTGGGGACACACAGTTCTTTGAGGCAGAAGCCCAGTGTGTCTCCCTTTGCTAGCAAAGCAATAAAGCTATCCTTTCCTTTTTTTTTTTTCTTTTTTATAAATTATTTATTTTTAGGTATGTTGGGTCATCGTTGCTGCGCACAGGCTATCTCTGGTAGCGGCGAGCGGGGGCTACTCTTCATTGCCGTGTGCGGGCTTCTCATTGTGGTGGCTTTTGTTG